GCTATGTTTTTGACCTCCAACAGGGAAAAGATGTTCTAGCAAAGATCTAACTAATGATTTGTGCAAGGAGCTTCTTTAACAGACTTAGGCAGAGACCTGGATTTGCAGGTTTATTTGTTTCAATAACTAAGCTCTTCTTCATGTAGGCCACATGCTTTCTCCTGTTTTGTTTGGCCAGCTCTAAGACTCTGGTGTCTTCACTCTGGTGAATCACAAGTTCCTGGGGCAGAGAATTATGTCTGGATTCCTTAAGGACAGCTTCCTTCAAATTAAATTTTCTTTTTAAAGCCAAGTAGGGCAAAGACATTAAGAATAATATATTTTAATAAAGAAAAAAGACTTGAAACATTAACCAAAAGAACAGAAGCAACCTCTGTCCCATGCTGGAAAGATATATTTGAACCTTTACCTCAGAAGTGAACAGCTGAAAACTTTGAACTTCAGCATAATTTGTGCCACTTTTCTACGCTAAGCAGACCTCTGTGATGATGCTCTCACTTCTTAGTAGGTAAAAGTAATATTGTTTCACTCTACTTTGTCTTAGATACCAAATTCTTTTTAAAGGGCTCTCAACACAAGACCAAAGGCAACAAGGAAATGTACTTCTAAGCACTTAGAACAGAAATGACAATGCAATTAACAAAATACAGCCTGTGAAACAAGTAATGGGCAATACTACTTTTTAGTACCATTCTGTGTTGCATTTTAGTGAACAAACTGCGAAAAACTTGACAACATCCAGGATTCAATCTAAAACTTGCTAGATGCCAGTAGCTAATCTATCTTGTGCCTTAGCTCTGTGTATGTGAGGAAAAATCTAACTGAATGACCATACCTGTAATGCTTGCTGTAAAATGAATGTGCACAATATTGTATATTTACATATCATAATCTCCAGACAGAAAGGTCTTATGTGGTTCTAAGGAGTGTATACATAAGTATTATGTGTGCATCTTACACAATTGCATTTAAATAGCTCTATAAACAACACCAACTTGCTGCTTTGCACTGCAAACACATTAACTCATTGATTTTTACACTACTGTTTAGGAGGAAGGTCTACCTATGGAAGATTTTAGTGTATATTTTGTGCAGTGTCAGGCAGGTCTATTTTCCTGTTTTGGCACTGACTTACTTCCGAGGTGCACACCTTCGACCTCAAAATCTGCAGGCAAGGAGTCAGCTTGGACCTACCTCAACGAGTGCCCCATCAGGTAGCCTGAGGAAGTGCCTGTAGAGGTCTTGGAAGCCGCTGAGGTGAAGAGTGTAGACAGAGATGTGAACGGTGGTCCTAACTCCCGAGACAGCTGCAGAGTCAGGGATTTCCTTCTGGGGCTGGAGGTCACAGCTGGAGACACTAGGCTGGCTGGCGTGGTCCTTCCAGATGTAATCACACACTGCCACCTAGTGAGGCAGAAGGCCCCCCCATACACACACACGTAAGCACACGCACACACACAGATTCCCTCCCATACTCACCTACCCCCCACCAAAGGAACATATTTAATTAACTTCTGGCAAGAGCTTAACCGATTTAAAATGATTTTACAATAAATCTGCAAAGCCTGTGCCATATGCAGTGCTTGCAAGCAGTTCTCTGCTACGTATTTTTTTATGACATAGATCTAAATAGAGGAGATAGACAAATCCCTAGTGTGTATTCTATAAAGTTAATTCTGCACAGATGAAGCTGTAATTGACTCCCGTATTAACCAAAAGTAGGGAGATCAAGCAGGGTAGGTTAAACAATAAAATGGCAATGCTGATTAAAAAAAAAAAAAAAGATAAAAAAAAAGCTTCCCAAGAATTTTGTGAACGAGTATTTGTATTTCTCTCTCTTTCAGAAGCTTTTGCACCTGTAGCCACAAGCACTTTTTAGTCTCTGATCTCTGTATAGTATTAAAATAACTTTGTGCTGCTAACAGAATTGTAGATGAGGCAGAGTAAATAAGGTGTATTTTAGTGCTCTGTATAAAGCTAGTCTATTGACACAGTGACAGAGTTTCCTGGTTTGCCCTCAACACGTTTGCTTGGGTCAGTTTTGCACTTCCCTCTGTCAGTCAGAAGTTCCATTCAACCTTTTTCTTGTTAATTCTCTATGCAGGCTGAGCAGAATTCAAGACTTCTGATGGATCACAGTACACAGTTTAAGTGCCCCTTACACTTAACTGGAACTGATGATGAGAAGCATTATTTTTATACTCCTGTTGAAGTGCAAGCGTTTTAAACCTTCACTTTTGGAAGACCTTTGCGTCACTCATTTGCTCCCTTGAGGTACTACTCCTGCTTACAAAAGGAAGGCATTGGTAATATTTTTATATCCTTACAATACACTGGCATACTCTTCCCAAATGCTTCTACTTAGTTCGGGGAACATAACTCTTTTGCTAGTCTAGCACATGCTTTTTCTTTCAAGAAAGGGTATTACACTGGCTGAAATTACTGGAACACCCCATTGAAACTAGGCATAGAAAACCTCTAATTTAAGATAGGTGTATCAAAAACTTCTTTTTGCATAGTTTTATCTGTTTGCTGAAACAAAGAGCTCAGACTTTCCCAAGAGATCCCAAAATCACCAGATACAAATTTTTTTCCCCCACATGGGAAAAGTTAGATTTAGCTCAGTTTGCTTGTGTTCCAGTTCTCATTTCCTCAGCTGTTCTTACGCATTAAGAGGAATCCCATAACTAGCACAGTGTGCCAATGCCACAATCCTGACGTGCACGCTGCTATTCTGAGCAAACTGCCCTAGGAGAGGACTGGTTTCAGGTGAGTTAAGAAAGCAAGAACATGCACTGGAAACTATCACCAACTCTTTTCCAGGTACAACAGAACCATAGGAAGATTCGTTCTAGTGCCAATGATTTCACACATTTAAAGCCAAGGAGAGGTCAGCTGAAATTTAAGGTAAAATACACATTTCCCACACTAAAATCTCTGAGGTTAAAAGGCTTTCATACAGAGCAACTTGTTAGGAACACAAAAGCAGCTACAAGTAAAGGACAAGCCCCGCATTTTCTTCAGCCTGTAACACAAACATGTTTTACACACCTGCCATACACAGTTGCTCCGTAAGAATTAAGGTGGCCAGTGTTCTTATGAAAGCAGAAAGGCAGCTTCTGTTGGGACAGTGTTAGCCAAAGCAGGGACAAAGACCTGTAAGCACTGTCACACCACAGCTTGTGAAATGGGAACAAAGACCCTGCCATTCTTATCCTCCTCTCTTATCCCAGTTTCCTAAAACCGAGAGCTCTGAGCTGTGCAATCAAGAGCACCTACAGCTCGGTATTCTATGATTTTATGCTATATGCACTTTCCCCTGTACTGCTTGCTTACTTTTTTCCAAGGGTTTTCCCTCCATCCTGAATCAATCCTGCATGTTTCCCTGCTTCTTCTCTGACCTTCATCTTAGCCCACTTTCATTAAATCTGCTTGTCCTTCATTTGTGTTACCATGAGTTTTGCAAACCATGGATTACTCACTGTGAACCATGCATCCTTCTGCAGAACCATCTGCAGCTCCGTTTCCCCATTTGAGCTGTGAGCTCTGTGGTCAAAGATACTCATGCTGTGCTTGTTCAGAGTACAACATGGACCTTTAAATTACCACATATATTGTCTATCAGTGACAGAGCTGAGTGTAATTTGCAGCATATAATTACCATACTAGAAGCCAAAGCAGTATCACTCAAACCACTGTGCTTGAGCAAACCTTTGCCATGCCAAGGCAAAGAGTTCCTTCAGGAGTTCCTAGAGCTCTGGGTGCCATCCCTCTGGCACTACATCCATATGGGACCAGGTGTGGCATCAGGAGCCTCTGCCTTGCCACCCACCCTGACAGATCTGCATCTTAGTGAGAGTCAACAAACTCACCGACCTGTCATCACAATTCAAGATCTGGCAAACTCCCTCTAAGGACATATCACAAAAGAACGTGACAATACTGACTGACATGTCCTCCCCTTCCTAAAAGCAAAGCCTGATCATCAGACAACTGAGAGTGAAAAAGCACCACCAAAACTGATGGTGCTCTGCCTGGTCCGGAGTAGGTACAAGTAGAACAGAGGGAAGAGGGACGCTTGACTGAAACATCATTCACTGACCCTTCCTCAAAGTCATCGGGTAGCATGAATTTGCCTGAAGGCAGACTCTGCAACATACCATGGGATATAACCGCTGAAAACCAACCCCTGGAAAGGAAAGAACAGCTGGGGATGGCTGTAGATTTAGACACCCCAGCTCTGAAGGACTGTTCAATTCTCTCCTTGCTGCCACCATCTTTAAGTATTTGGCAGCTGGATGTCCACTGCCTTGAAATTTTCAAAATGCATTTCTGTGAAGTGATAGGTCACTGGAGTGCTGCTATGGCCTACATAACCTGAAGTAAGCTCCAAAAGTAAACTCTACTGTCATCTGAAATTTGTATCATTAAGTTAATCAAAAATGTCCATTCATTTCTGCAGGAATACAATATGAGTTAATAAATCCACTGAGACAGGCTAGACAAGAGACTGTGCATATAGGACATGTCAGAGGAACTGAAGTTAGCTATGATCTAGATTCACAAGGGCTGACAAGAAACCACAAAATGCCAGAGCAGTGTACAGTAATCCTTAAATGAAATTCATCTTTCAGCAGAAAAACACATTAAGGATGGTAATTCAATGATAAAAGAGGCAGGCCGGAACAGGTTCAAATGCTGAATATTTCACAACAAAATTTAATTAAAGCAGGAGTGTGAGGCAGTTAATCACTTTATAATAGTTCAGCTCGAAATGAGGGCTGATGTGAGTGCCCTTATAGTTTATTTGTTTATATTATTATAATCCCAAAATGTTACATCGACTTAATGCAAATGTACAGGTTTTACTGGTCTTTATCATGTTAATTATTTTTTTTTCCTTTCAATCCTCCTGTCTTTGTGTAGGTATGCAAAGGCAAGAACTGGGAGGAAGGGTCATAAATTTAGGTCAGATCAGATGATTCAGTAAGTCTCATGTGGGTTCAAGTCTTATTAATAATTTTAATACATTCTTCCTTGACAACAATTATTTCAATCACTGCTCCTTTAACGTACAGTGTGACGTAAAAATACATGGACTTTTGAGGGAATGGAACAAGCTGCTTCTACAGAGAAGTTTAATTTTGTCACCTTTTGGAAATTACGGTACCTAACCTAGAACAGAAAACAAAAATACATTTGTAAATAGAAATACAAATGTATTTTTTTGTATAGCTATACCATGGCATACCAAGTCTATAGAAAAATGTTTTTGAAGTAGAGCACTATAATATTTTAAATACAAATATATTAATAAATGTATATTATAAATAGATTGCACACGTGGCACACTCCCAATTAGTATGCCCAAGGCCAGGGTACAGAAAATGCCATGCTAGTGCATAAAGGTTCTGTCAGGTTTTCTATTGACTGACAGCTTTTGTAAAAGAAGAAAGAAAAAGAGAATTCCTCAAATTTTCTG